GGACAATATATTCTACTATTTTTTTTTCGGGAACGTCTAGATTTAGTCTATTTATTCTCGAAATTTTTTCAAAGCAGTACGCGATGAGACTTTGGCCCGGGGTACTTCTGTACGAACTTGCGTCGTCCAACAGCTTCCCAAAGTTCTCCTCCCCCGAAAATTGCCGGACAATCGCGCTCGACAAATCAGCCCAAGTTAGCGGGCAGCTTTTGAACCCGTCGTACCACCTCCTCGCGATGCTGTGAAGCTTAATCATCGCGAAATAGACCTTGTCGGTATCCTCCCAGTGAAATACTTTAGAAAATTCATCAATCTTCCTTAACCACTCTAACACGGATATACCCTCAACTTCCCAATCAAATTCCGGTAAAACTCGTTCGTTCGCAACACGTTTTGCCTGACTCGAGCCCATTCGGATAGCCTCCGTCAACGCCGAAGTCAACTTAGCAAATTCGGACTCACCGGACATCCGTGTACCATCATCTCTGCTCACGGTCGATCTATCCTTTGACCGTCGTTCTCTCGAATGGCTCCTGCTCGGTGACCTCTCGCCTCTTCTCCACCTTTCGGTACTCCTCGACGCCTCCTCTCGCCGAACTTTGCGGTCCCTTGGGGTATGGGATCGGCGATAATCGTATCTCCTCGATTCCCTCTCCCGATAGTAGTTCTCCGAACTATTGGATCGGCTCCTGGATCGAGACGGAGACGATCTCGCTCGCATATCCGCTTCATGCAACGCCTTCGATCTCCGCTCATGATCACGTTTCCTCGACTGCTTCGGCATCGCACTGACACTTGCAACACTGCACCGTACCTATCTCGTACACGCCGCCCGCACTAAAGTTTTTCTAGTGGCGTAAAGTTGGTAATCCCACTTCTGATATGTAGGCAATAATTTTACAATGGAATTCCCGTTTATAACAAAGTGTATAGTTGCTAATCTGAAGACTGACTCCGACGTGCGATCTCGGTGACGTTCTGCCGACCGAATGTCGCCTGGCTTCGTGTACTCGTTCAGGTATCCAACCCTCGTCCGGATACCCTACCTCGGTTTTACAGGCGTCGGTCATAAACATTAGAATCGGCCCATAGTCCTTAATCTCGAGTGGCCTCTCCTACCAAATAGGCGAGGAAGTCTCCCCACGCCTAGGAAAGGGCGGCATGGTTAACATTCGCTCACATATGGTAGTCAGTCATCAATTGTTAATCAAAATAATTTTAGGAAATAATTTAGTTAGCTAAAAATTATTTTTAAAAACAATGAAATATAAATAATTATATATTTAAAATGTGTATTAATATTAAAATATGGATACAGCTCTTTGTGATACATAGATGCATAATATAAAACGGAATAGTTTCAAATAATTTCAAATAGATTTTTTGTAACGGAATTTGGAGGCACGGACGAAGTACAATATGCATGTATGTATTTACAGTGTTGTCAAACTTTCAATATCGAAGTGTGAAGCGCTAATAAATGTGATCAATCATTCTGCTATATATCACAAAGAGCCCGATCCATATTTATCACAACTTTTTCTAATACATGGAAAATTAAAATTTTAAAATTATTAATACATGATTTTATTTATAAATGATTTATATATTGTGTTAAACATTCTTAAAAAAATTTTTTAATTAACTAAATTTTCAACTATTTTAAATTATTATTAATATTAAAATATTAAAATTATCATTTACATATTCCTTATATTACATATTAAAATTCACGTTAAATTATTAACAATTTTATTATAACTATGCAGTGCATAAATTATGACAAATAACAAATTCTATAATTCATTAGTTGAAAATTACGTTTATTGATCAAAATATTATTCGAAATTTTTCTATAAACTACTTTGCCTGTCAGTATTATGATAATAACAAAACTTTGTTATTTATTTAATATAAATCTTTAATAATTCATAAAGATTTAATGAAAAATACAAACATATCTACGGAATATATTCTTATCCGTGTTTCGACCAATGTTGAATGTGTTTACAAATTTGGTACAAAGGGGCACATTATGTTGTGTAAATTATATTTTTGCAGATCAAGAAATGGGGGGAAAACTTATATTTTACAATTTCATAAAGCTTCATTAGAATAAGACAGATTTTTCATTTTTCACAGATATTTTCGTTTGATAAAGTATTAAAGTCCAAAGAAGCTACAAAAAATATTAATGAAACTTACGTCGAAATCTTGAATATCTGTAAATGCCAACGGTGGTTCAAACAATTTAGAAACGGCGACCGAAATCTTAAGAATAAGCCGAAATCTGGAAAACCACGAACAATCGATGACGATGTTTTGAAATTGGTGGAATCAGATCCATGCAAAACCATTAAGAAATTGTCGCAGGATATCGGCTGTCTCTGCTCGACTGTAAAACATCATTTAAAAAGACAGGCAGGCAGGGGGGTCACGCCGTCCGCTTTAGATCAGCGAGTCACTATTTGTTCTTTGCTGCTGACCAGGCATAAAACAGATCCGTTTCTGAAAAGAATTGTTACCGCAGACGAAAAATGGATACTTTACAGCAATCCACTTAAAAAAAAACCGGTTTAAACACTTCAACCATCTTTGACATTAAAAAAGATTCTTTTATGTATTTGGTGGGATATTTCGAGTGTGATTTATTATGATTTATTAAAACCTGGTCAGTTTATCACAGCAGAGATTTACTGTTGCCAATTGATGAAAGATTAAAGGCGGAATTATTAAAAAAACGATCCGTCCTGGTGAATAAACAACGATGCATCTTGTAACAAGACAATGCGAGGCCGCATGCAGCGAGAATTTAAGATTTCGGTCGCCGTTTTTAAATTGTTTGAACCACCGTTGCCATTTATAGATATTCAACATTTATAGATATTCAAGATTTCCCGTAAGTTTCATTAACATTTTTGATAGCTTCTTTGGGTTTTAATACTTTATCAAACAAAAATAACAAAACACCGCAATTGCACCTCTTCGATCTTTGGCCTTAACATTTTTACTATCTGTAAAAATAAAAAAAATGAAATAAAAACAGTAACAGTATGAACAGAGCTTCAAAATAATATTAACGTACTTAATCGGCGAGGTTGCACGACATTGGTTTCAAAATGACACACAAAAAAACGACATTACTTTTCACTTTACCTGATACAATATTAAGTTTAGTTTTCTCTAGTTTTACGTATGTAGATATTATAAGTGTATGAACACTTTTGTGGCTTTATATTTTACATTTTTATATTTGACGTTTTTTTGTTAATAAGTTTAATAAACAATGTTATTTCTTTAACATGTGTCTGAATTGAATTAACACACAATTTTATGCAAAAAAGAAATAGCTTAAATTACTATATTTATTATAATAATTAAAAGTTATGAGGTATATGAAGACTTTTGTGACTGACTGCATATCTTTCTCTGATTTGTACTTTTGTTCTTGAAGTAACGATGGCTCCGAACTTAAAGATGGCTCACAGCGCTGATGAATTCCTAACAAACTACAGTAGGGACTACCGTATCCGAACTAATAAGGAGACAAAAGTGGCCGGATAGTGGAATTTTCGGATAATAGAACAATCACTTTCTTTTGCATTAAACTTCATTTATTCAGGTAGAAATGAACTGTTCAGTCTTGCCGAACACAATGGGGATGAAAATCGTACCGCAAAGGACAAACTCATCGAGCCAGGGAAAGCAACTTGATAACTTCTAATTTCTCGACGGCAGGAATCTCTCGTGACCATATTTCATGTCCTTCGTTACTTTGTATCTTCTATTGTAGTCGTACCGGACTACCAATTCCAAGGCTCGGTAAGTTTTTTCATCGCAATGGTCCCCATCATAAACGAATTCGAAGAGGAGATGTGAAAAATAAGTTCATCGCGCCAAGAATAAAACTTTCATATTCACTTCCTTCGATCGGATGCCGAAGGAGCAGGACGTCCAAATACTATCTGTGTTGTACCCACAATAAGCCACACAAGTGCACACAGGCACTTTTTATTTTATTCGTGTTCATTATAATGTAAAAAAATCATGAGAAAAATTGTCTTATAGAATCAATCATGGGAACACATGATAAACCAATTAGAAAAATTGAATATCGTGCTGCAGTAAATGCAATATTAACTGGTGGATGGAATGCAGCAGTGAGTTGTGGGATCCTAGAACACCCACTTGTGTAGGTAGTTATTTACAACCTGATGTTGTTCTTGCTTTATCTGTATGTGGAGACAAGTTTGTAGTAGGTACTGCCAAACGCAAAGTTTGTATTTGGGATTTGAGAAATATGGCTGGTATGTTTCAAAGACGAGAAAGCAGTTTGAAACATCAAACGCGTTGTATTAAAGGTTTTCCTAATGAACAGGTAGGTTTGATATTTTAAAAATTAAATAAATTAAAGCGTTATATAGACAATGTTTTGATTTAATTTAACATTAATGTTAAATTTTATTTATTTTTAAATCTTAATAATTTTTAGGGATATGTTCTTAGTAGTATAGAGGGCCGTGTTGCTGTTGAATATTTGGATACAACGTCAGAAGCACAGAAAAAGAAATATGCTTTCAAATGCTATAGGATAAAGAAAAATAATGTGGAACATATATATCCAGTGCTATTAGTTTTCATTCAACTTATAATACATTTGCAACTGGTGGTTCAGATGGTTATGTTGAATACTTGGGATGGTTTTAACAAAAAACGTTAATGCCAGTTTCACAGATATAACGCTGGTGTTGCTGCACTTAGTTTTAGCCATGATGGTTCTGTACTTGCTATAGGGGTCTCATATTCTATACAACGTATAGAAGATATATCTTTAAATTAAATTAAGTCAATTATAAACTTTATCTTATAATAGGAATGATTAGATTTTGCTAGTATGACTGAAGTTGTTTCTAAACATAAATTTCAATATTCAATAAATAATTTTTATTGATATGAATAAGAAAATCTGATTATAAATATATTATTATATTACATAAAGACAATATTTACATTTTTTATTCATTTTCATTTATGTGTTTTGATTTCTTCCTTTTCTTCTTTACTGACTCTTCAGCCTCTTCTCCTATTCTATTCTCAACAAATTCATTTTTGTTTCCATTTTCTAAAATTTCTCTTTTCCTTTTTTTATCTTTTTTCTTTTTCTTTTTGGATGATTCTTGTTCCACATTCGCTGTTAGTTGCACTTCTTCTAAAGCTTCTTTCATTACAACAATATTTTTCTTAGGTACTTCTCCAGTTTCACAAAATTTTAATCTATCTTCCACTTGTTGTCGTAATTTTTCACCAAATATATTAGTTGGTTTATCAATAAAACAGTCAATTCTTGATGCTACAGAACACTTATTCGCAAGATATCTTGAAATTCTACCCTTATTTCTTGTACCTGCCCGAGCAATAAACGACGAATGGAACAGCAGTCCATATTTTGGAGTGTTACCTCTAGTTTTCAAGGCTCTAAATAAGGCTTTTTCTGCACCTAATATTTGTACAGTAGAAGCAGGATATTTCGCTAAATTTGTAAGAGATCCAGCATGTGCTATTAATCTGGCTCCTACTTGGTCACCTATTAATGTAGCCAAATTTGGCGCAATTCCTGTCATTTTAAGTCTTAAATATTCTGCTAATCGTTTCCTGTGATCAGCCAAAGAACTAACACGAGTTGCAAACATTTCAATATTAAGAAGATCAATAGGACTGATATCCATTCCCATAGATGATTTGGATGCATCCATAATTGCTTGAGCTTTCGCAGTGTCCATAACAATTTGTTCTAGGGCTTCTAATTTTTCATCTGTAAATTCTTTTCTGTTTTTTATTAATCTTGCAACTTTGGCATACATATGATTCTCAGGAACTATTTTTACAAGCTCTGGAAAATGATAACTGTACCATTCTCTGTAATTAATACACATATAATTAATAAACTGAGTACTTTATACTTATGATTATATATATGTATTTATTTTAATAATTACCTTATTCGCATACAAAATGTATTAATATCCTTGTCCAACTGATCTAATAGAGCTATGCTTTGTATGATCATGTTATCCACACGATTGACATTAAATTTAATTTGAGCTCTAGAATAACTATGGCCAAGTCCAAGTTGAGCGATTCCAGAACTTTTAGCAGTGAAATGTTTTACTAAATTATGGAAATGAAGTTTTATTCCTCTAAGAATTTCTGGAATGACACCAGCATGATCACATTTTATATCTAACGCTTCATTAATACTAGCGCCAAGTTTTGGATCTGATACTCCAAGCACAACTTTGTCTTTTTTTCCAGATTTTGGTATACATGAATCTAAAAACAGCTGT